AGAGCTGGAAATGTGGGAGCCTCCAAGGACTAGACTGATTTTCCAAATGAAACAGCCAGTCAAATGTACATCTTGGTTGGCCATGCTGGTTGAGGAATCCTCTGGGAGTTACAGTTGGAAGAAATTAGATGGGTGATTTTAGAAGTTCTAATCTTCTTACCTCAAAAGACCTCTAAAACATTAATAACCAGAAAACATAAAATTGTGCAGAGATACTACAGAGATCCCAACTAAAAAGAACTGAATGGCTTATATCATGACTGACTGTGCTAGTGGAAAGATGCTGGAAGCTATAACCTTCTTACTGAACCAAGAGCATGAACTAGAAATGAGATTGTGTAGATAATACTGAATGCCCAACTCACAAAACTGGTTACATCTCAACTAGCAATGCTGGTTGGGGAATTCTAGGAATTATAGTGCAAGTAAGTTAACTTGGAGATTCTGGAAGCTGCAGTCACTGTATCAAAACGGTAAGGACTAGAAACATGAAATTATACATTGTTTCTACTGATTTTCTAAATTAAATAACCAGATGGATTATATCTCAACTTGCCATGTCAATTGGGGCATTCTGCGGGTATAGACCAAGAAGTTACATCTCTATTCAGGCATGTAATAATAACCATCCCATGAGCGACAAAAAAAAATGCATTCTGATTTGAAAATATGACTGGCCTATAAATTCACAGTGATGGGGCATTTCTCTTGGGATTTGCAAGGACTGATAATCTGGACTCATACCTTATCTTTGATAAGCAGCCAGTCATAACTATGAAGTTGAAAAGAGAGGTTCTATACGAATGCAACAAGTCCTCAGCCCTCATTTAAGTCCCTCAAGGTAAAGTATCATTACAGAATCCAGTCACAGAGCTAGACTAAAACATAGGCATTCTATGACACTGTTGCTGGGTGACGCCCTGGTCACATGAGGGAAATGTTCTCTATTTCTTCCGATACTTTCCATATCTCTGTTGTACTGAATCGTGGACATGTGGTTTATGTACTGGGATGGACGTCCCAAGAACTTGCACTGGTACCGATTTATTTCCTCCTCTCTGGATTGTTATGGCTGGCTACACCATGGCATTTTCTCTCTTGCTTCAAGGGCAATTTAGCTCCTTGATATAGGAGTTTGACTCCTCCACCATAGCGATCATTTCTGGCCCCGTTCGTTCCAGTCACAACGGAACTCCACACACGGAGGTGGACTCACGTGCACGAGGGTGGAGGCCCCCCTAGCAGAGGTTACATACATTTACCAATGTATTGCTGCATTGGGCATGAAAACCTTTTTAAAAAATTAATATGCACGCCACAGTAACAGCGGCCACCTTCCTGACTTTGATTCTGAAAAGAAACAGGGTAGGTTGTGCACACAGGCAACCCTGGAAAGGAATGCACTGGTACAACAAAGGTACAAAATAACACAACCCTCCCGGTGATGGGGAAATGTTCTGCAGTTACACTGCTGGCCAGGAAAATATCTTGATCTTGACTGTGTATCATGTGACCCAAAAAAAGCCACAAACTACCTGGGGGGGGTAGCAAGAAAACATTTCCCTCATGTGACCAGGGCCTGAGTTGAGTATCCCCCAGTTTCGAACACTTGCTGCATACCTTCCCCCACCAATGAATAAAAACACAGCTGTGACAAGAAAAAGTTCCAATACATCTACTGATATCTGGCAAGGAGATTTGTTATTTTTCATTCCATTCAGAGTTAATGTACGGGGGGGGGGGGGGGGAATGTGCCATACTGGTACAGGTGCTTGGATGAAGAACATCAGATCCCTCTGATCAGAGAGAAAACAGAAGACAATTGCAACCTGGTCCCTACCATCTGCATGAAAAGCCTATTGTTTACTGAGACAGCAAACAGACGTGCCTGTGAAAGAGATTTATGACCAGCTGTTTTGCAGTCAAA